TAATAATAATAATAATAATAATAATAATAATAATAATAATAATAATAATAATAATAATAATAATAATAATAATAATAATAATAATAATAATAATAATAATAATAATAATTATAATTATAATTATAATTATAGTTATAATAATAATAATAATAATAATAATTGATAAATGATAAAGAGTGTTGATATTTCCTCTAATAGAATGCCACTACAACAGTGTCGTAAGTCGGTCAAATGATGGCTAGTAGAGTAGACATGATGTCAATCAGTGATGTTCAGATGATTCGACGAGTCATCACAGATGGTAGTGTTAGTTGAAAATAAAGCAATGAACAAGTGCTATCGTTCTGCAACTCATCCATTTTCTTCCACACTAATGTCTTTACAGCTGTCACTTTCAGAATACTTCCCAACCGTATTTTTCATCACTTTATCTCCTTTACTTTTCTCCTGCTTAACAACAACAACACTTCACGGTATTTATCGTTTTTTGATCCAATTTAGTATTTCTAACATTGACATTAATAGCGAAAATGATCCGAAAATAGAGAATGTTTGAAAAAATTTTTTCACTTTTATTTGTATCAGTTTTAAAGCAGTATTTAGAGGGTATATTTTATATCAAAAAAGTTTCACAAATGTTTAATGATAATGTCTAATTGCTTGGGCGGGACATTTGCATCTTCGAAAAAAGGCAAATTTTCGAATTCAATTTTTGTTACTTTCTATAATATCAGAAATTAAGAATACATGCGTTAAAAAAAAAAAATTTACGTTTTGCCGAATGCATTAGTGCATTTGTTTTATCTTAGTCCCCGAAAACTTTTCAGGTTTTCTTGTAAGACGTCTAAAGTTTAAAATACTTTTTTCTTTTTCTAACTTCCACTACTTCTATTCCAGTTAGATTCCTAAAAATTAATAAACTCATACTTTTCCTTCTGATTATCTCATTTTTTTGATTATTTTTATTTAAAAACAAATAAATTATCAATATGAGTAATGTATTTCTGGCATCAGTCCTTGCCCTTTTAAAAATTCTCTTTAAAAAAAAAATGCATTTAAAAAAAAAGTGAAGTGAATAATAATTTTCAAGTAAATTGTGTAATCAGTTGGTGATTTCCGATGGTAAAAGAACTCCGTAAATGTTCTAAAAAATTTAGAAATGTTACGCAATAAATTACTTTTAGCGGCGAATGACGTATCTCATTTGCGTGAGGGGACGTTTTCATCAGGGGACGTTTTCATTTACGCTGCCAATTTTGTCTAAATACAATTGTTGCATTTCGGTTTACCTTCATTTTCCTACTACAATATTGCAGAAAAAGACATACGACCATAACAGGATTAAATTTTGAACGTTTCCCACCGTATGACATAAATTTATTTAATTCATTCCTTAACTATGTCATTTTTGTCTTACGTCAGAATGTTTGGTTGATAGTTATATGTCAGGTTGGCGAAAGATAGCATAGGTAGTAGTGGTGGAATTTAACGACATGTTATGACACAGTTTTTGATAATTTTCATCGTTGAATACTCCATTTTCAATTTACCTTTATTTGAGCCGAATAATGTCTTTCAGTTCATTATTTCTTTATAGTTTCGATTTTATGATACATTTTTGTATTTATGACCGGATAATGTAATTCTTTCGTTTCATAATCTTTTTTTGTTATGTTCAAAATATGCATTTCCGACTAAGGATGTTGATATAATTTCATCAAGAAGTTAGAAATTAAAGTCATTGGTAGACGTACCATAAATGAGGAAATGGAACCTGTGCAGCACAGGTATTTCCTCTGTTATGGTAAAGTTTGAAACGTTCGGGTCGTTCCTTTACACTTTTATAGTGTGCTCGATTCATACGGAAAAAAAAATTGTTGCAGTTCACACTTGGGAAAAGAAGGCTGAAGAATCGCAGTTGCTGCAGTGTTCGGTCACATTAAGTGTATTTGTATGTGCTACGAGCAAACAAATAGCTCGATGGGTCTAGGCACAGACACAACTCCGAATTCAGGCCACCGTAATGATTTATCCAGTGGTTCCGGTTGTTTTTATAGTGTTCTTGGAGTATCACGTAATGCTGACGATGCTGCTATCCGGAAAGCGTACGTTTTATCTTGTATTATTTTTTAGCCTTCAATTTTTTTTTTTCTTTTTGTTACTCTTAAACACTAATCTGCATTTATGAATCGATTGGATTCATCAGCGACTGTTTACAGCGGTTGCATCTAACCCGAGATTAAGCTGAATTTTTTTATTATTCAATCAGCTATTAACTTAATAAATTGGATGAAAAATTTGCATGCAATTGTACCATTGTTTCAGCACAGTCTTGTCTAAATTTCATTAGAATATTGTTGACCTTTTTTAATAAGAAACAGATCATCTTTTCTCTAATTTTTTGTAAAAAAGTAGTAAATATTCAAAATTTCTAAACATTTCTAGCAAACTTTAATGGATTTAGAAGGAAATATTAAATTATATGCTTATAATTCAATATTTCTTTTACTGTTGAAATTTAATGAAGTGTTTTGATCTAATTTGCACATGATCGGAATTTTAGCTTCATCTTGAAAAGTTGTATTATAGTGGTCAAATAGTCCTCACTTCATATCCTATCCAAATTCAGGCTAATCTGTCTTCCATTATACTTTTCACTAACTGGGAAAAATACTTTTTCCATTCCGATTCATTTCTTCGACAAAGAATTAGTTTCTTACTTTCTCTCTGCGTAATATTATTGTTTTGTGCTAACTTTATTTCTTGGTTGAATATTAAATACATCAGGGTAACTCATATCAACAATCATCATGAGAATGAGAAGATAGCAGCGAAAGAGTTGAAATAACGAGAAAATGAAAAGATTACAGGTACCGTAAACTAGCATTACAATGGCATCCTGACAAAAATCCGAACAACAATGAAGTTGCAGAACAAAAATTCAAGCATATAACTCAAGCATATGAAGTCTTATCAGATCGTAAGTTTCCGTGCATGTCAGATATTTCAAATTAAATCTCTCTGCTACATTCAAACATTTCGGTTTTCGTGATCGCAATAAGCAAGGAAAAGAAATCTTTAACTAGTCAACCCATCTTGATGAAATTGCAAAATTTAGGTAGATTGTAACTATTATACTTTAGAACAGTTAGAATGGATACATATAAATTTTTTTGAAGAACTGTTTACAACCTGATACTATCTTTGCCTTATTCTTTCGACTTCAATGTTTTATGATGATCATCGGCAACCTAACGAGCAGGTTGATTAAAATGATCGACATCATTTTTTAGAAGGTTCGGTATGGATTAGGTCCTGTTGCAGTATGTCATCTACATTCGACAAGTGGCACTTCATCCAACATCCGAGCAGTCCTAATATTTATGCGTTGTTGTCCCTTTATTACCTTTACAGGTCCTATGGTATTGATCATCCATTTTCTGCAATCCCTTTTGCAGCAAAAAAGCGCAGCTCGTATGATCGTTCACGTCTGACTAATTCACAGCGTCACAATAAGCAGTCGCGTGATATTTTCCATCATCGATTTCGCTCACCTTTCGATATCTTCGAAGAATTTTGTGGCCAAAAGGACCTGTTTGACGTAGGCTTCATTAATTTAATATTGGATTATTGATTGTAACATTCGTCTAGAATTCGTTCACGGATTCTTTTTTTTCCAATTATATGATGATATTTCAGGATTTCATGATGGATGGCAAACCTTTTTCACCGTTCTTTTTTCGAACAAGATCTGATAGCGTTGATTCATTGTACAGGAGAGCTGGTTTGTTAGACTTTCAAATTTTATAAGTCTAATTTTCATTAAATTGCAGTAGATTTCAATCTTGTTGAGGATGGCTACTGACATGCTTTTCAGGAAGTCATAGAAGGCGATTTGCCGACAATTTTTTTCCCGATGATAAAAGAAATAGTGAATTTATCAATGAAAATGACTGGTTAGCGAGTTCTTATAAAATTTTAACTCAATTGTAAAGTTTTCGAAAGTGCATTTCTTCTGGGTAGATACTAAAGATTTTTTGTCTGAAGTGGATGATATTATTAAGGTTTGATATTGATGTTTAAATTTTTTATCGTAATGTTACTTTAAATATTTAAAGTTTTAAATGTTTCAAATACTTAGGCATAAATGATAAATTAATGAATTTTTTAGGCAGCTATTTAGAACTAATCTTTTCAAAGATGAACTTTTTTTTTCAATTTCAACTTTGCAGCAGCTTCTCATCAGTAATACAATTTTCGTCCGCAGAACCAGGAAAGAATGCCTCTAGTCGTAAAACAACAACAAGTACGAAAATAATCGGTGGGGTCAAAGTTGTTACGAAAAGGTCCCCTTATTTTCTAATTTCTGAAAATCCCAAATTCAGTCTCATGACGCGGATCGCTACAGTGTAGCACATCACTTCTAACTCTCAATTTATTATTTTTGATTTGATTGCTGCTTTAGAGGACACCTTTGATTTGGACCAGTTTGATTCCACCGGTCAACACGCTGCAGTACTTTAGACATTCGGCCTACAACCCCCTATTACGATTCCCCCATCCCTTATCAGTAGTACAGCGCTTAGTTCGATTTGGATTATATATTGTATAATTATGACTGGTTGCAACATATTATCATATCTTTTCACATAATATCCCACTGGATCCATTCTTTTTTCAGTATATTCGCCTTTTATGAACATGAAACTAAATGTGGCTCTTTTAGCTCATGCTCTTTAGTTGCGTCCAAAATAATTCTGGCAACATCATGTTGAAATATAACTGTTATCAACTGAAAGCTCCGCTGAGTTCTCTGGATTTTAATTAGTTTGACAAAAATAAATTGCAGGGTAGAAACAGAAGGTAAAGAAACTATTGAAGTGACTGAGAACGGTGTGCTGAAATCACGAGTCATCAATAAGAATCCTGTCGGAGAAGCCAACGTGTAGTGCCATTCATTATAGAGGAACTTTTCAAATGATATTCTTAATTTGAAATAGAAAGCAAAATATTTCAAATTGTTTTTCGAAATAGCAAATTACTCCCACCTCGTTTATTAGTTCTCACCTATTTTAGTCTGATGAGGAACCTCTGCTTAAGCGATATCATGAATGTGATTTATTGATCTTCCTGAACTTTCATATTCATAACTTTCACGTCTTTTGCCTTATTATGATGTTGCCATTTTTGCTTTTTATTCTATTGTTTTTCTTTTTTCCCGAAACACACTTCGATTAAAAAATCTAAAACTTTTTGTTGTAGTGGACCGAAAGAAATAACGAGCATCAAAATTCATCATTCCAATTTCCATTCAAAAGAAATATTACTCGAAAACATTATTAAAAATAACATGTCCCTTCTGGTGATGGCATTTAATATTTTAATCACCCATCACTAGATGCTCTCATTTCTTGGCATAAATTAGATTTAATAGTCCAGCTTTTAAATTTTGAACCAGCCTTGGATTTTTCATTGTTGTGTGTATGTGTGTATGTATCTGTGTGTGTGTGTGTATGTGTGTGTGTGTGTGTGTGTGTGTGTGTGTGTGTGTGTGTGTGTGTGTGTGTGTGTGTGTGTGNGT